CCCCAGGCTTTTTTTGATAGAAAATTTAATATTATTGAGTCAATCATGTCTAGAAACATATTCATAACAAAGTTAACTCCAGATTTTGAACCTCTAAATAACAAGATCCCTTGTCCCAGTTAGCTTCCATTAAGATTGCTTGTATCCTGCAAGTCATTCCCAAATACCCCTTGACTTCTAGAGAGTTTATCATGCTTAAGTTGATAGATGGTTTACACAATTACAAGAACAACAGTTTACAAGTAAGTTACAAAAATAGTTATCACTCATTAGTATTTCTATACATATCTCAAGCAATTATATGCACACTCTGTACAGTGGATGTTAATAGTGGTTACGTTGGCTTCCTTAAACAAAAAAACCCAGACTAAATCACTGACAGTCAGACCCAAAATATTCAGGCACCATTATCTACTTGCATGACCGGCAGTAAGCATCCCTGCCCATGCAAAGCAAAAGCAGTTTCAGTACCAAAAGACATATGCATCCACGTGGTAAAACCCATATGATGGCTGGTGGAAGAGGACAGTATGGGGATTAGTACATTACTGCCACCGGGCTCACACTGTACTGCAGGAGCCAACACTAGCTTTAATTCGTACACATTCCTTGCAGACAACTGTTCCTGTCTAACAGGCCTGCCTAGTGGCAGAAAAGCACTATGGCAAAAGCTGTAGGGCAGCAGAACTGACTACCCCAAACTACCCCCCTAGTAATATTGAGAATTCTCCAGCTAAAGGTAAAAACACAAAGGTGACTTCTCAAATAGACAAACACTGGATGTTTTTGCTGTACCCAAATTACTGTTTTCAACACATTTTGGGTGGGTTTTGACTTGAGTTTTATTCCTTCACTCCCCAGAAAAAAATCCAAGTTTTTTTGGCATGATCAGAGCAAACACTAACAAACATTTTGCTGGTTGCACGTAGTCCATTATTAAAGTTTATTGGTTGCACTTACAATACTCACTCCTCCCTTTCAGAGCTAACAGTAAACCTGGAAGCATTGTGGAAGGTTGTGGCATTTTGTTAGACAGGGAAGTAAAAAAATTAGTCCTCAGACATATGACTGCTAGCGTTACTTATCTCAGCTTCTGAACTCCAGTCCAATGGATGTTAACCTTCATGTAGCTGCCCAACTCTGAAACAAGTCACCCATTTCAGAAGATGCTATCTGGGAACAGACACATAGCCCACTACAGGTCTGAGGGGTGGAAGAAAAGCAAAACCACACCTAAGACCCCCAGTGACCACCACAAAACAAATAATAAAAAAAACCCCAAAGGCCTTAAATGCTGCATAACACCACTCTTCTTTTAAAAAGAGGGATATCTATTTTCTGAATCTAGATATCCCTCCCATACTCACACTACTCCAAGCACCCTCATGATGGAGGCACAGCACTTCAGTCAGACGGTTAAAAGACGCTGATGGTTCAATTCAAAGACTTAAGATTCAGAGCTGGAACGGTTAGCTTTATATACCACACGCTGAAAAGCCCAGCCATGTCTGCAATATACTGCCATGGAAACTTTTATTCACTTGCAGAACTTCAAGGACAATCCAGGGCAAAGTCAACTAAGGCATGTACTTAAGTTTGCCAACATAAGGCTGCAAAATATAAACACCACAATGTTAATAGCAAGGTCATGCAGACATCAGAAGTGCATTAAAAACTTCAAAGCTATACCACACAAGAAAAAAAGACACTTGTGCTTGTCTTCACACAAGAATTAAGTAATTATCCTCTAACTATCAAGATGAGGAAACAAATCATGAGTGAGCCTCTACAGGCTCTTCCCCACACCAAGAATTCAAAAGTGTCAGGTACTACATCTTTTAGTTACAGTGCCTGCCTTTACATCTCTCAAAATGGGTATTTGATGGTGAGATCTTTTGTTTGGTGCCTTTTATTCATTCATTCATTTTTAAAGCATCATATTTCAAATGTAAAATAATTTTGTTCTCCAGGCCAGAATGGCCAAATAACCAACATTTTTATACATTTAGGTGTTCAATATTAATTTACCTTAAGTTACAAATTTGAAGCTTTACAGTTACTCTATACAGAATACAGTAAGTTTTGTTTTTTCCAATGGTACCATTACAGTGCAGCATCTGGACCACTGATATAACTAACATAGCTTTCATTTTAAAGTGCAAGGTTTTAGTAGGGGAATTGCTACAAAGGATTCAAATGAAAAGAATTATGCTAGAAATAAATCCCTTGAAATACAGCACTACAATGGCAGTATCTGATAGCATTCTAAGATTACAGGGAAGTTACAAGTGAAATACAAATCACTTCAGAAGTCCTTCAGAAACCATCTTACAGGAAAACAAAACAAAGAAAATTATGATTCTTCAAGCTGACCTTCTGGAGAGAATCTGTACTTACTGATTTACAGGGAGATGAAAGACTTACCTTTTTAATTTTAAGATCAAGATTAAAAAAAAATAGATGTGAAATAATTACAGGCCTGTCATTTGGATCTATTCTCATAGCTGATTTACAAAGTTATACAAGTTCATACTGACTTCCCTTACTTCCTTAGCATGTTTCCAAGCTCAGCTACAGAAATCAAGCCTAAGTTAATTATTCAAGAAGATGCTTACCTGATGAGATGTTATATTAAAATTAGTAGTTTAATTCAAATACTTGCCCTGCTTGGTTAGTAACATGCTGACAGTTTTTAAAGGACGTACTAGCACATGCAGAACCTTCAGCCTTTGATTCTCCTGTAACTGACTTAATTTGAGGGTTCATCAACAGGATCTTTACCCACCCTTTATTTTTTAAGATGAGAACTCTCAGTCATTCAGGATGTCCACGACAAACTGATGATGTTGAAGTTTACATCCATTAGATATCCCAGATGACAGATATTGAGCTGTATCTTCCCCTTCTGCCATATACATGGGAAGAGTAATTCTACTCATAATTCTTTATTTTAAATTAGCCAAAACCAATGATTTAATGCAACATAAGATATACAGATTTAAATATTTTTTCAGTGTGTCTGCCAAATTTTCAAAGACCAGTTTGAATCTCAACACTGCATAAACAGTGTAACCTCCCTCCATTATGCTTGTTCAAGCAGCATTCATCACTGTCACCAAATAATTTTAGCATTGTGCCATTCCAATTACTTTAGATTACCTCTTGTCCTTTGAAGAAAAATTTGTTTCAAATTAAGGTATCTGCCTAAACCTGTTTTCTTATTTTCCTATTAAAAAAAACAAAACCAACAACAACCCACAAAAAAACCAAACCCCCAAAACAACCCTAAACAAAACCAAAAACTCTTTAGTGTAAATACTTAGGCCAAGAGACAAAAAACAACCCTAAAACCTGTATCACTTACTGGCTGTCTTCAGATCTCACATGATCTAAACCAGAATTCTTTCCCTTATCTTCAATATAAGCATCTTTTTACATCGGAAAACACAGAAGAGTTTATCTCTCCGCTCCTAGCCAGCTGCCCACTGTCCTGGATTTTAGTTATCACCTCCACCTTTTCAGACTAGCAGACAAGCTTCTGCATGCATTTTTATGAAGCACAGGACTGAACCTCATCTATGCTCTAGGAAGACTAGAGTCAGTAGTGCACTAGTTTCCCTTATGACTATAAGACGTAATAAAGAAAGTTTCCTTTTAAGTATGCAGATTCAAGAATAATTTTCAGAATATAACTACAGTAAGTCATCAGAATTGACTATTCCAGTTCCAGTTCTTTGGCATCTTCATCTTATCAACAATTATATGAAACTGACAGGTTGGGTTCCAAAATCTTTAACAGACATTCAGACTAAGCTCCCAAAGCAATTCAAACAGAGGAGGGGTTTTTTTTGTATGGTTACCTAATTTCTTTTAAATCAGTCCTACATAGAAATCAGCAAAATTCTTTTCCCCACTCACCGAATTAGGTCCACCTAAGAAAGTCCAATGAAGAAAAAAAAAAAAAAAGAGTAATATAGACATGTGCCTTCACTGAAGTACTGAAGCATAACAGACTATCAGTTGCAAGAAGTTACTCAGCAGCCTTTTTCCACAGTGTTTACTGTTAATTCATTTTATATAGCTTATTACCAGGAGATGGGCAGCATAAAAACCACAACATTGATTTAAAAAATTATTCATTACAATGCAACAGTCTCAGTAATACCTTCTTACAGCTGCATCTGATCTGATTTAGAAAGAAAACAATTCTGATCTAGTTAATAAAAAGTTTTGTACCTGACCCTTAGAACAGTCAGCCTTAAGAAGTCTAGCAACTTTGGACCCCAAATTTACAATCACCGCATTTGATAACAACCCCAGAATTTCTCACTGTGCAAACTATCCTACTGAAATTATTTCATAGCTTTGTTTTAAGTCAGTCTCATGATTACATTAGCATTTGCATTTACAGAAAGAATTGCTTTACTCTCCTTTACAGAACTTTGATGTGAATTTTGAGTGCTCTGGAGATTCAGGTAACTACTGCATTGCCTACTGAGCCTGCGCACTAAATATGCACCCCGCAACATATTAACACTTACAAGTAGCTTAGATACATGGTATATTAAAACAATAAAACTTAGGAAAATCTACAAGCTGCCCAAACCTGTGCTCAAACAGTTTGCCCCCTAGTTCCAACTGTACAATCCTGATTCTTAAATCAACAGTTGTTACTCAGAAGTTTACTAAAAATCAAAGTAGAAAGACATTAAGTCTTCACTCATTCATTTTCTACAGTATGGAATTTTTCCTTTGTCAGTAATGACTGAGGGGTTGGATTTTGTTTTGTTTTTAAACCCAACTTTAACAACATACATTCTCCTTATAACATCCCAGAGGTAGCAGGAGGGAATACAAATGAAATGATGCCAGATTCTAGAAGTTGCGCATTCAAGTATAGTGTCATCCAAGAGAGCTTTCCTGGCTTTCAGAGATTGCATCTCACCTCTAATCATGTATAGCAAAGAAAAAGTAGAACCCAAAAATAAAGAACTATCACCACTGGGTTACTAACAGAAGTCTCACAACCAGATACCTCAAAGTAATCTTGATACTTAAGTAGTAATACTGCCAGTTTCAATAGTTAAACATCAAGAACTTAAGTATGAACTTAAAATTTATGAGTATCTATTTTTCTAAAATGCTCATTAGTGTCACATTTCACCTAAACACAGATGCACACATAGTTACTCTAAGTTGATGTACCACACTGTAAGGAAAGGTCCCAATTCAATTCAAGTATCTGATATTCCCCCTCTCCCTCCCACCACATGACAGAAGTGCTTACAGTAATAGAAAGCAAACAGAAGGGGAAAACACAACATTTAACAAGTGCATCTATGTACATTTTGCACCTTTTCCCTCCTGGCATCTAAAGTGAACAGGTCATCATGTTTGCTATGCTTCACATGCATATATTCTCCCCTTCAGGTAGTACCAGTCCTACTCAAAGGATCTCTGCGAGGATCAGCAGTCATTCCACACTAACCGACAGGTGCTTTTACTGTGGAGGCTGAAGTACATTTAAATATTCTGACTGGCCCAGCTGATAGGTTGTGTTTCTTCCACAGTCCACATACTGGTACCTCTCCTGGGATGTCTGCTCAGAGTGGCCAAAGTAAGAGGTTGTCACTGTCACTCTTAAAAAAAGACAAAACAGCTGTTTCGTAAAAGACTTGAGTTTCCTATTCTAAAGATAAACATTTTTACATTACTAGGGTTTTTAAGGGAAAAGTTTTGGAACAAAGCCAGTTTTAAATAAACTTAGAACCAATACTAGTTTACCACAATAGATTTTCTCCATGAAAGATATTTGGTTCCCTGAACAGAGACTAACACCCCCTCCCTTCCCAAGGAAGATGGTAAAGCTCATTTTCACTCATTAATACCTTGCTTTCTGAGGAGAAAGCAAGTTATTATAGAAGCTACAGCCATGGCTGGTCTACACTACCCACACCCCCAAAAAAAGATCCCACCATGGTGATATTTATGCAGTCACTAAAAGCAGATTCTGGCAGACTACTAAAGCCTGTAACTGATTCAAGACCATGAAGATCTCAGAAACTTTAGAATAGTGCCCGATATACAAATTAATTTTGAAGTATCTGAGACCTTAGTACTGCCATGACTATGGCCAAGCTGCAGAGCAGATATAGTAATAACAACTCCGCTTATTCAATCGTCTTTACACCCTCAGAACCTGTCCAAAGACACAGTTCAGTTTCAAGAACTATGAACCTACTACAGTAGAAAGCAAGATGATTTCATTTTCTATGATGCACAGATGCTGGGATTATGTATTTGAGTAATATTTCAATTAGAATGACATGGTTTTTAAAATTGTTTCCAACAAAGTTTCCATACTTACTGCATCATCACTACTATGTTATGCACTTTGATATATGCTAAAGTACAGAAGTCACTGCAAAAAAGAAAAACAATTGTTAGATTTGCATTGAGCTTTTACAGGCAATTATCTGAAAAGCAAGAACCGTGTCTTCAACTGGAAATTCTGCTATCTATGTATATAGAGACTACAGAGTTACTGGCAATGGCAACAAAAACACTTGTTTAAAAAACACTGCCACTGACTCTATCTTCACCTAGGTCTACTTTTATATGCATGGTGTTGCTTTCAAATGAACTATATTCACATTTGCTTGCTTACATGTAATGCTTCCCAACACAAGTGTTCTGAAAGATGGAGTCAACTGTGTTTCACAAGCTAAGTGAAGTTAACCTGACCATGCTTTAATCCAAAATACAGACAACCTGTGACATAATACAAAGCCAGCTCATATCCAACAGCACATACCAGCTAACAAGCAGAGGTACAACATCAACATATTATTATTTTCCCCAAGCAGGTTTATTTCCTGAGATTCTGAACTAAAAAAAAAAAAAAAAAAAAAAAAAAAAACACACACCAAAAAAAAAAAAAAAACCCCAAAAAAAACCCCCCAACCAAACAAAAAAAAAACCCAACCAAAACCCCACAACCAAAAACCACAAATGAAAAAGAAAAAACCCCAAATCCAAAAAAGAAATACATCACAGCACAAAATAGAAAATGGTAGCTAGGAAACTACACTGAAGTTGAACTCCACATTGAGCCAGCTCTCTAAAATAAATGTGTGGAAATGCCTTTTATGGTGCCGATTTCATCATACAGGTCTGCTGAATCCAGGTGATTGTATGCAGTCACTTCAGGTCTCCAAGATTTCCTGTATTCAACCTAAGCTGATTTTACAGGACATGCACTCTCCAGGATCCAAATAACTTGCTCATAACATAAGACCTAAACTGACTAGCTGGGGAAGCACTGAAATGTGACAGACTGTACAACCCCTGATGCTATAACCCACAATATTAATACTGTCTGTATTAGAAAGACGATCCCACAGCTGTCACTGGAAAAGTTAATATTTGTGTGTGGAGAAAAAACCCAAACAGTGACAAATATAAAACCCCAAGAAGTCCAAGCTGAAGCTACATTGGCTGGATATTCAACTAACGAATCACACTTGCTGTCTCTAGGGCAGGCTACTGGCACTGACATATGACAGTTTCTCTGCTTCTACTCCAAGACTTCATCATCCACCTCTGAACTGAAACAGCAAGCACATCATTGTTCCACACTACTATAAAGGCTGCAGCTATGACAGAAGAGCCTGAAATCCATTCAATTCAGGCCATAGGCAGAGGAGCTCTTGCCTATCTGCACCTCTCTACACATCCAAACTCACTCAGGTTTTCCTAAGGTTAGTCACCTTGCAGGTAAAAGTTGCAGCTATTGTTGGGAACAGACTCTCAATTGCATTACTGAAATTAAGGCCACAGTACTGACCATGACAAGTTTCAACACATTACTGCACCAAAAACATGACTAGGTAGGTATTAGCACAGGTTCTATGAAGGCCACATTTATCTATTCCCCGTGCATCCAAAGGGTGAGCAAATTCAAAAGATTCAGTGTTTATATAAAGCTAACTTACATGTTTTTAAGACTGACAGAAGTGTAACACTTCCTGCTTATTTAAAGTTAGTGCCCAGTTTGCTATTTCATACCTATTTCAATTTATACTACTTCAAAAGATATTAGGCCTTATCCCACACCAAAGGGGCTGGGATCCACTGGAACTGCACGCAGACCTGAAGTCTCAATAGTTAACTCTCTGTTCAGTCTGCGTATCAGTGCAAGAGAACTAACATTTGGTTTTGTTAGCAAGATATATTGAGCTAATAGTCTGTTGGTCAAATGAACTTCAGAAGGACTGAATGAAACCGCTTTAAAACAAAAAACAGGCTATAAACACTCTTACCACTGCATACACATGGTCTGACAAAAAGAAATATCAAGTTGCCTCTAATTTGCATAGAATACAAATTCCCTCTACCATCAGAGAAATCAGTGGGAAAGTTACTAGAGAACTCACTAGAGGAACACACCTGCATTTTTGCCCACCAAAACAGCATGTCCTAGTTATTGCCAAGGCCTGAAACACTAGGATAAAAGATATCATTCAAAGTGCTGAGAGTCAGGTACTGTAAGGCACTATGTGCAAGTACTGAAATAACCATGTTTTAACTACTTTTCAGTACTATTAAACTTACACAAAGAAAATGCCACATCTCTGCAAATACATTTCTGCTGACTTTGAAAAAAGTTGGGTTTAGCACCATTGTAATTTTTAATCAGACCCATGTGATATTTAGAGGCGAGTACACTTACAACATGTAGCTCATTTCATCTTGTATGACTGTGGGCACCATATAGTCAATCTAAAAATAAAAAAAAAAAAAAAAAAAAAAAAAAAAATTTTACTGTGGGGCGCCAAAAATTAAAATAAAAAAAAAAAAAAAAAAAAAAAAAAAAAAAAAAAGAGAAAAAAGCAATAAACACATATGAGTATATTTATATATGAAGATTAACATGTATTCAACTTTGAAAGACAATTCTATTTACCTGTTTCATATCCAGAGGACCAATGTTGGTGATGTTGTTTAGCCGTGCTTTGCCAATAACTGTTTTTGAAAACTGAACTTGGGCTGTGATATTTGCCACTTCAACAGAATAATAGTTGTTATTCGTTATATTTAGTGTGTTCTGAAAAACAAACAAACCAAACAAAACACTAACAGTTATCCTGTGTATCTTGGTAAGCACACATTATGAAGTTCATGCTTGAGACAGTAATACCTGAAATCGTGCAAGTATATTCCTGCCTTCTAGGATTTGGGGGTTGGAGGCAGGGGGAACAGGATGACACACAGGACATAATCACTTAACCTCTTTCTGGGGTTTTTTTTTGTGAATATCTTGAACTGCACAAACTTCCTGCACAACTTCCCTGGTGACTACCCTCCACTGCAAAGAACACATTTCTTCCTATCCTCAACTATTACTTCCAGGAAATTTAGCTATCACAGGACCATCTTCTCCTTGCTTTATTTAAAATGAGGAACTCTAACAAATGTCTTTAGGCAAGTCTGTATTGACTGCATTACCAAGAAGTCAAGAAACACATAGAAAAGATAACTTTAAAGTTTTAAGGTGAATAAAAAAAATAAATAACCATTTTCCCTCAAAACCAGTTTTGACAGATGCATACTATCAGGACATCATTTAATAACATTCCCACATACACACATTACATTTCACTCATATTCCAAAAATAATTCAGAGAACTTCAAAGTCACTGTTCCCATGAAAATAGAAGACCAGTGGTAGCTTGCAACTCAGTTCTATTAGCTGTAGCTAAAGGAACCAGCCACAGCAGGTCCAGTTACATTTTTCCAACTGGTCATTATATCTGCTTGTATTTCTTTAGGTACTAACTAGGCTTACCAGCTAGACCACAATTTCTATGCATATTAACACTGTTGCAGTAGTATCTCTTGTTGCACTTACCCATTACAAACATGCAAACATAGCTAGACTTACCGTGATATTAAGATATATTATACGACTACCCTGTTCGTAACTGACATAGACTGACTTCACACCAATGTATTCAACGTCGATTGAGCGAGGAAACAAGAAGAATACAGCCAGCCCAGAAAGTAGTAAGCATACAATTACAGAAGCAGTCACGTAGAGCTTTCTGGAAGCAAAGAAGAGCACATCTCAGCACATTAAACAATAATGTCATGTTATTTTCTTTTAAGTGGTAAGGAGCATGACTAGTTAATACAACTAGTTCAGTCTATCTCTAACTTCCACTAGTGCTCAAGGAGGGGAAAAAAAAAAAACCATTATGCTGCACTTCACATCTGTGTCTCAGAGATGTCCCTTTTGCATATACATCAGAAATCAAATTTCAAAACACATGGTTACCCCAACATTTGTAACTTGGAGGAAAATAGAAGAGGTAACTATTTATGTACTTTGAAACAGAAGCACTTCCTCTTAAAATTTGTTTATAGCAGAACTCTTGCCACTCTGTGGGACTCCTGTGCAACACAACCAGAAAAAAGAATAAAGCTTATACACCTTACATGTGATTCTTTGATATACAAGACTTTCAGGGAAACTGTCAGACTCCTGCTAAGGAGCAGGAAATTCATAATTAACTTACTATTAAAGTGTGTTTGTGTAATAAAAAAATATGTAAGCAAAAGGCTGTACTGCAGCTCCAATTTTCACAAAATTAGAGCACTACAAGTAACAGGTCTCAAATTTGTGCTAGTATTGCATCAGATGTATCATCCAGGACAGTATTACAAGTTACTGGTACTCATTTCTGTTTACTACAGAAACATCCAAATAGTAAAGGCAAAAACCAAACAAATAAATAGAAAGTGTCAGAACAAGAAGCCCTGAGCACTCTAATTAAACCTTTAAGTGGATCCTAGTAAAAAAATATTAAATACACTGTATTGGAATGATGAATTTGTTGATTCTGCTAGCTGCTCAGAGCTTTACCAATTAACTTCCAGGTGGCTTATTTTGTATTTATCAAGGAAGTTATCAATTTACTTAAGACTTTTAACATTGAAGATGTATCTGCTCAGATAATTAAGATGCTAGAAAGACTGATGAATGCTTGCATTAACTACTGTAGACATTCGGGTAAGTATTCACATGAAGATATCATCCAGTATACTTAGCTTTGTAAGACATACTCATGGGAGTATGCACACCAGTAGTATATGCATGCCTGTTAATAAACAACCCTCCAAGAGGTAGAAGTTAAGGCTGATATTACTCATGAGCAGGATTCTTTCAGTACTGTATGCAAGTAAACATTCCAATGATTTTTCCTTGATTCTTCTTATCACTCTCTTTTTTAAATTGCTGAATTTTAACTAGAAGAATTAACTGTAGATTCATGTATCACAGCTCACTATTAACTTACGTTCTCCTTGGTCTCAGTCTCTGATCACTGTATGGAATTAACGCTACCAGCTGATTTTCCTGT